TGCTTCAAAAAAAGGATTTTATCGCCATCTGATAAGTCTTCATCGCAGTGAATCAGTGATTCGAACACTGTCCAAAAACTGTTGAACTCTCTGAAGTTTTCAGAGAATGTGGGAATCTCTAGAAGCGGTTTCCGCACTTTGATCTGGCGTTCACTTCGTTCCGTTACTGAGCCTTGTCCCATCTCGCTTGCTGATTGGCTTGGGATACTAGCAGCAGGCGTATGCAAAAGTGTCGTTTGCTGGCTCAGTTCATGTTGTCTGAACTGTATTCGGTTTTGCCATTGAACTACCATCACTTCCAAATCGAGTGCTTCCAGCTCCAGATGCTTGCTAAGTTCAACCATCAGCTTCTCTCGTTCCTTTTCTTCACTACGTGTGATGTACTCAATGGCAGCGTTTTGCTGTGTTTCTTGCAGTTTCACAGCGTTTTGCAGAGAATTGAGGAGATTTGTTATTACTCCTGCCTTTTCTTTGATATAATCTTCACATTCCCCTTTTGCTGTTGGAAATATGAAGGGGACGTCTATGTTCTCCGTTTCGGACTCGTAGGATTTTACGAGCTTGCAGGCGTTATTTACCCTAATTTCCAGAGTATAAGGCGCACCTACGTATAAGGCGCACCTGCCGCGCGCGAAAGCGCGACAAATGCGCTTAAGAGTTGCACCCAAGCAAGGTTCGGTCGTTCCCCACTAGGCAGTGGCGTACCGAGGGGGGAGGCGGGGGGGGGGGGGGGGGGGCGCCGCCCCCCCCCTCCCCCCGAGAATGGGTCGCAAAATTTTTGAAAGTTACTTACATGAGTTATAAAAATGTGCAAGAGACTTATTTATACTTGTAAGTAATTAAAATAACTTTTAAAAATTTTTAAAAACTCAATTTAGCCTTATAAAAAATTTTTCTGGGTGCGTGGCTAACGCCACGCACCTTCATCAGAAGAAAATTTTTGTCGCCCCCCCCCCTCCCGAGCCGAAATCCTGGGTACGCCAATGCCACTAGGGGATGAGTATTATAGTATGAACTGATTGCTGAATGGGTACTTCAAAGTTTCCAAGAAGTCAGTGTCGATTCTATTTCAAATGGATTCAATGAAGCCTTGACAACAGATATAGACTTAAACGATCTCAATGATAGCTTTAACTCAGTGAATTTCGAAGGTAGTAACAGTATGGGTGTTTGAGTCTTTGCTTTTCGTTGTACTGAATGTGATAAAAGAATTTGTTTCAAAACAACTCATGATTACAAGAAATTCAACTGCAGAAAATCATGAAAAGTCAGCACTTGGCGGCCTTCGCGACGTCGCGCGTCGCTCGCGGCGTCGCAAATGAGGCCGCGCGCGGCGCACGAAAATGCGCCTTATACTCTGGAAATTAAGGTATTTTGATTTTGAAAAGTTGAAGTGCGGCCATCTTCGAGATTCAGTTCCGACTTCTTTTCCTTTTGTCCTACAGCAAGTTGGTTACTTTGCTGTTTCTTCAGTGTACAAGTCAGCGAGGTTTTCGCAAACTTGCAGGCTCGTTAGTGGTGTTGTTGAATAGAGACAGCTGTGTGCTGATCTCTGATGAGCAAGCGTGCCTAGGTGGCTTGAACGCTGTGCTGACTGGTAAGGTGGCTTGGACCTTGACCAGATAAGGATTGGGACTCAATCCTTTAAGTCAAGAGTTCTTGGTCGAACTTTGACTTTTTTGGCAAAATGAGCTCTTGTAACTCAAGTTACCTTCCTTTCAAATCTCAATGTATTGATCTCCGGTCCTTGGATAGGATTCGCGAGAGATCTATGAGAGTGATTGGAAATTTGCACCCACAAAAATTTGTTCCGCTCTCTGGATCACTTACGGAAAGGATACACAGATAGTTTCACGTATTAATGTGATAATGTGCTACCTACTGATTTCTCTTTCATTTTTCTGGATCACTTACGAAAAGGATACACAGAATTTTTCAGATGGTCAATGGTATTCCTACTGATTTCTCTTACACCTCTTTGGATCTCTTACGAAAAGGATACACAAAGATTTTCAGATAGTCAGTGGTAGCCTTCCACTTTTCTTACACCTCCCTGGATCTCTTACGAAAAGGATACAAAGGAATTTTCAGATCGTCGGTTGGTTGTCTTCCTGCCACGCGGGTCTTCTGGCCTCGATTCCTCCAGTTGCAGATAGAATGCGAGGTGGCTTCACTGGTCGATGCACCAATTTGGTGGGAACCAAGTGTCGTAGGCGATAGTGGTGACGATAATAATTTATCCACAGACGAACCCGGTTTTGGAGCGGGGGAACAACCTATAATACAATCGGGGGCTCTTCATATAGGTAGTAAGGCAAGGCTGACCCGTGCACAATCGGAATGTCCAGGAAATATATGCAAGAAAGAGGATGCCGCGGCTTGGCGCGGCCCCTGAAAGATAGGTGCCACTCATTGGTGAGTGATTCGGCACTCAAATATAAGCGGTTGGGGAATATAGCCTATGGGGAATACCCGTAAGCTATTAGGATTATGAATTGTTGAGGTTGATGATAGATAAATCATCAACAATAAGATTGAAAAGAGATATATAAATAATGAATGAAGTCATTAGATTGTTGGGTTTACCAGGTCGGAAGTGCTTGCCCGAACATCCGAGGGTGTTATTCGGGCGCTCATCAGGTCATGCGGGTATTGTACTGCGCTTATCGGTACTTACGGCTCGCATTCGGGATGGGAGTGATATCGCCCGTATTCGGTACTTACGTCTCGCGTTGTTCACTACAGTTGTATGAGGAAGACTTGTTGAGTTTGGAGGGTTCAATCATAACCAGAGGCGGAAAGTATTTTCAGCACTCTGATAACGGATTGATTGATGAAACCTCATGAACTTTTCTCAACTGTCTTGAATTTGCATGCGCTGCACAGTCAGGAAATTTTAACACATTGACGCCAAAGCCTTCCTCGAACCAGCCAACAATTTTCGGATAAAATCACGCACAAATCCATCTACAGTGCACCTACAGTAGCTCTGGAATTCTGGCAAAAACAGTAGAGGTTGTATTTAGATACAGCACAAAAGAAAACTCCCAAAGTTGGTTTGTCGCAAATTAGTAGCCATTTCAATGAGGGTCATGGTGTGTCAAGGCCCATGACTCTCCGTATCCAAGCAACACGTGCTTGCTTTGTAGATGTAGGATGGGCCCTTTCCGAAAACATCGTTCATTGTCTCTCTTGGGATTCTCGATCTCTGACCCGAACAGGCAAGTCACGGTTTTATTGGTAGCTTTTTACGTTCTTAACCATACCTTTCCTACTCCAGCTACCATCCAGAGGCTGCTTTTTCCACATATAATAAGAGTCTCTTGAGAACTCCCTGCTGTCCAAGAAAGTTCCGGATGACTAGACCTTATAATTATTCTTTTTTGAGCAGTAATGTGAATTTGAGCGGCTTGCAACTCTTCTAGATTGTACGAGCCGATCCGATAAAAAGTTCTGAAGGTGCGATGATTACACTTGTGACCCAATTTGGATTATTGCACTTGGACATGAAACAAATGTAGTTAAGGGCAAGAATCGCCCGTTATATGGATTGAACAAGGCAAAGTATAATATTTGAAATGCGTTTCAGTGAGTGGTCGTGGAAATTTCTTGGTGTAAGATGTATGTTTTGCAAAGCATTTTTATGGTCTGGCTGTAATCTTAAGAAGTTGAGAAATGCTAGTTACTGATTAATTGTACAGCCTACATTCTCAGACAGACCACGGTGCGATACTAGCTGGAACCACGTAAATTTAAAATGGAGTCTCCCTTGTTTTTTGTTTCACCAAACCCCTTCAACCTTTTCCGATCCTCTCCCTCACTATCTTTCAGTTGTCTCTTCTGCTTGTGCGGTTACTCGAAACCAGAATAGATGCTATACGGGTGAACCCTCTCCTAACAATTACCAAACAGAAAATCCAAAACTTTTATTACTTTTACATCAAACGCCATGCGCTAAACGCGTTTTACTCCACGATCAGAGCCTAAAACCTAAGGACCCAGTATCAAACTTCTCTCCTTCACATCTCCCTTACTCAGTTTACACTTCTTCCTCTCTGCTCTACCTACATCCACCTCCACCCCTCCCTCTCCTGAGAATGTTCACGAAAATACATAACAACATAAAAAGTGGAAGAGCATTAGAGCAAGCATGAGCGCCGACCCTGGTTTGCTCAGGGGATGCTTCTAGGTCGGAGCAGATTGCGCCGCCACTGAGATTTGAGGGCTATAAAAAGCATAGATGAGAAATTATGGAACCATTTCTTACTCGTATGGAGATTCTAACGGTGAAGATACATCTTGTAAGATGGTCCAACTTCGGCTGTTCAATAATCTTGGCATTGTAGTATATATTGCTGTGTCGTCTCTTTGAGCAGCAACCAAGATGTTATAACTATTTATTCAAGCGGCCTACATTTCGGCTTTTTCGCCTTCGCCTTTCGTACTGTTCACGGATTGAATGATATCTTGAGCTGTTGATGATGGCGTCTGAGTGGATGCGTCACTTATACGTTCGAACTTTCCATGCTCTGACGAAGGCGAAAAAGCCGAAACGTTGGCCGGTTGAATAAATAGTTATAACATCTTGGTTGCTGCTCAAAGAGACGACACGGTGAAGATACAATACACTCAAAAAGTATGAATTGGCGAGCAGAGGGGCGGTTCCAGCTCAGGTGGAACTCAGCTAAAACATTCCAGCTGATTCGGAAAAATGGCTTTCACAGCTTTCATTCACATAAGTTCATGGATTTTCAAGCCATAGTTAAGGTTCCCTCAAGCACATGCGCACTCAAATTTGTTGTCATACTATCACTTTTGGTTGGAAGCAACGTCTTTGCTTGGGATAGAGCATGCCGCCTGCGTGCCGGTGACGGCACCAAAAATGATGATACCTTTGATTCTTTACCCAGAAACGATGCCCAGCTTAACCCAGATTCCAGCTGTGCGGGTGTTGAAACAGACTCATGAAGCAGTAGGGCAAGGCCTTGGATAAACTGAACTTACTTCGTAAGTAATCCAACCCTTTGTCCAGCTCCAATGTCCACATCATTTCGGGCAGGGCAATACTGCGTAAGGCGATACCTGAAGTGGTTAATTTCACAGATATAGGAAAAGTTTCCGCATCATCTCTTGTAGAATCTAACCCGTTAGGGTATATATTTACAACTACATAGTCCAAGTTAATTTTCCTATATTCTTCACTCTAAGAATTTATACGTAAGGCTTCGGACAGAGTTCACGCGATTTAATCGTCGCGATTTAATCGCATCGATTTCCATTCATTTTCAATTTACAATCAAAAATTTCGAGCTGGAAAAGTATCACAACCGAAATACAAGCTGATCGGCATGCAATGAACTCGTAACGGTTGTCTTGTAGCGATTGGATCGCGACGATCAAATCACGTGAACTCTGTCCGAGGCCTAAGAGGAGAAAAACAAAAGCCACGCATTTGTTTCGAAGGGTTGCTCTAGTTTTACCTGTAATTTCCTATGCCACCTCCGCGGCAATCCTCTGACTATTCAAAAGTTCCGAAGACATATGTAATTACAAGAAAACTCAGTTGACCCACTTGTCTCTAGCCCATAATGGAATTGTTACACTTTCTGGGTCAAACGGCCACATCAGCTGAGCCGGTTGAAACGTGGGTTGTCGAATTAGTGGCACCGGTCTGAAATACGATTTAAAGACCTCTGCAACAAGGATGTTGGAAAAAAACTGTGGGAATGTTTTCAGAAAGGATATCGAACATGTTGTGGCTTTTCGGGTGCTTTTTTTATAAAATCTTTCGGCTGTTATATCCGAGCAGAAACAGATATGCGATTAGAGACCATCGCGAAGAAAGCAACAAAAAAGGATAGTCCTCACAAGGTGGTAAAAAATGAGAGGGTGCTAAGTGCTTAAAACAGTCTGAATGATCAAGCAGGTTTTCGATAGTCAGTGTAGCTTTGCTTTGATGAACACATTTTTTAGTCCAACAACTTGCTTCTTTGTTTCGTTTTGCAATAGGTCAAGTACTTTTGAAATTCGAATAGGCAATGATCATACCTATAGCAAAGCAGCTTTTGCAGATGGCTTCCAAACATTTGTAAGAATTTTGTTGCGCGTAAAGTTTTGCAACCAGTACAAGTATTTTTGAACCATCAAAAAATGGATCTGCGTCCACAGAAAATGGTGCTGGCAATGAATACTTTCGATAACCCTATGTTCATGCTGTTTGTTTTCATTTTTAGAAATTAGAAAACAAGAATTAGCTATTTCTGCCAACACGATGCTGGATTGTTCCCATATAAGTGTTTTTACACTACAGAAATATGAGAGTACATCGTGAATTCTCTGATCAATAAAACTATAAGTTCGTGCAAAGCGGTAAAAACTTTCAAAACTCTTGACACTCTTTTTCTCACAAGGTTTTCTTTTCTCTATTTGAATCTCAATTCTATTTTGAATAACCTATGAAAGACTTACGCGATCGGTTGAATGTATGAAGCTGCATCTGGCCGATACATCTCCTTCTTCATGCCTGAAATTCTTCGCTAGCATTGACGTAACAGTACAACCTTGATATTTTCTACCAATGTCCTGGAAGTCATGACTGCCATGCCAAATTTACAAAAGGAATCCAATATTGCAAATTTCTTTAAATAAGCTGTAGTTTGAATTTCTGTTGCGAACTGTTTTGTTGTTCAAGCAAACTGTCATTCTCCACCCACTGTATTGTCCATTAGGGACAGTACAGTGGTGGATATTCCACAGGAATTTCTCACACCATAAGTCTGACAGCTTCTTATCTAACTTTATCACATAGTTTCTCACCCATAAATCGCACTAGCTGATCCATTACAGCCCCGCGTGAGTGATTATGTGAAGTCATCTGAAAGGCTCCCTCAGCAATGTACAGTATCGTTCTATCTACAAGGCCCTCGACAGCGTTGTCGGAATAGGCTGAAACACAAAGTTTGAGAATCAGCCCATTTCCAGTTTTCTGGAAAAGTTTGAAGAAAATTTGGGAAGGAAGCTTTTGCATAGAGCGAATCACATTACGAAGATATCCACTTAGTCTTTTTTGTAAATGTTTCTAACTCGGATATCCCTGAAGCTTAATACAGCGAGTTTTCCAGCTTTCTCCTCTCCACGGAAAGGGTCAGTCCAGCGCAGAAAAAAAGTGAAAAGCGTGATGCAGAGATTTCCGAGGTTCTAAGAGATCCTGGTCGTAAAATGACTTCTTCGGGCTTTTCCCTGGTTTCATGCATTAGCATAAGTGCGAATCGGTGGAAACATTGGTTGGACATATGCAATTAGAGCCACCTTACCTGCATACTTTTTGCTTTTACGAATGAGAACGTATGGTTGGTCGCTAATCCAGCGATCCGCGTGAAACCAAGGTTTGTATTCCTGGAAATGAATGGATCTAGTGATCATACGCAGTGTTTTTAGCTCCTATCAATAAGAAGATTTTAATTAACGATTTTGCAATAGTCTACAGATTCAGACTCTGGAAAAAGTTACAATTACAAGCTAATCAAAATCAGATCAAAAAATCGAAAAGTTCAACTTAAAACCACAAAAACTCTATATTAACAACTAGCCAAAAGTTAATAAGTAAGAAAGCAGGGTACTTTTTGCTGCATTGTATTCTATGTTTCGACCGTGCGGAAATTTTATACGCCCTTCCTCTTCCTCCCCCCCCCCCCTTCTGCTCACTTTCCTCAGTTCTCTGCAAAGTACTCATTTTTACAGAATTACCTTAATTTCACGCGTTTAAGGCGCACTTTTTCGAATTTTCAAGCGAGCCGCTCAGCCGGTTCACTGCATCCCGGAAAGAAATCCTTACATCGCACGATTCCCTCAAGCAATATACAACACGTTATAGGGTCCTTTGGTTTTAAAGTCCTTTGGCGTGTCTGGGATGGTCGATTTTGGAAAAAAATCCCCCGCGCCTTATACGCGTGAAATTAGGGTAAATATATCTTAACATACCTGTTCCTCAAACTTAATGCATGTACGTCTTCCAATCTGGTAGAAGGCATCGCGTAAGATTTGACGTTCTCTTTCGGTCAGTGATGGCCAGAAATAGACTTTTTGCATTGGTTTTCTATAAGGGAACATGAATTACACAATATTTTCGTACACAATCGAGGCATACGGTAGGTTACGGTACCGAACGGTCTTTCTGGTGAATGTGGCATCTATTCCATTCAGTTCTAGATTTGGAGCAGCTCGAGCCTAAAGATCATTGTTCGAATTAAAAATTCAGTGTCAAACCTAAAAAAAAGCATTCCCCATTCTCTCGCTTTTAGAAAATTCAAATGGTTTGCCAAATGTTTGCTCTAGTGAGCAGCTCCAAGCGTCAATGATAAGGTCAAACTAGGAAGTTTCTGTGCAAGTTTAAATTTGACTTTAACTATTGCCAACCAGAATTGCGAAAATCATCTTGAATTTTCGTTAATTTTCCCCCATAAAATATTACCTTAGGTCGACACAACTTCTTCGCTCCATAGACGAATGACTGACAAAAGAGCAATATCAAGGTAGACACAATTAATAACCTCATCTGCTTCTAAAAAAACCTTATTGCAGCCATTCATATAACTAACACATCCCACCAATACGCAAACAAAGCGCGAGAACAATTAGAACAAGAAGAAGAACATGCCGGGAAAGTGGCTCTGATGAGAAGAAACATGACTTGGGAGCTTGGAGTTTTTTGAGATATGCATCTCTTTGGAGTTGTACATTTTGGAACGGAATGAATATAAAGGAAAGAAAATGAATTAGGCAAAATAGCTGCAAACGATGTGGAAACTTCGTGCGTCACAGAGAGTTTTTTCTTCGAGATGAAACAAGCTTCTTCACTCAAGCTTACATGAGAAGATGCTGAAGTAATGCGTGCCTCTTATAAAAAGCGTACGAATCTGGTTTTTCGAGCTAAGATTGCATGGATGACAAAGATTTCATGAATTTTTGGAGGAATTTATACGATCAGCATAATGTAAGTTATAAGAGGTCAGTAACCTACATAAATCCCAATTTGGGACTATGCACAAATTAGGAAAGGATATCACTATCGCTAGGGCAAATAGCGGATGAACTTTGGGAATCAAATTAGATATCAAGCAAAAAAAGGTGACAATTGTAAGAACAGTGCGCTTGAATCAGATCCCTTTTCCCTTACTAAAATTCAAGCCAGATATATTCCAAACAATTTATGAACTTTGAACTTTAGAGTGGAAAGAAGAAAGAAAAAAATGGCGCATAATTTTGACAAACGCCTTGTGCAGTACGAAATTCCTCATTCCAAAACGAGGTATAACCTTTTTGGAACGCTCCGTATAACTAACTCAGGTCACACTTTGAACGCGAATGAAGGTCATATTGGAATTGATAGAAAAGAAAAGTTAGAATTATATCAGAAAGAGTGAGGAGAGGAACAATTCTCCGAAGCATCATGCATTACTCGGCTCTCATATGAACATACCAATTAAATTCGTTGGACAGGAAGTAGACGAAATACAAAAGTTAGTAGACCTACACCTTTCCAATCCTTAAACTGGGATAAGGCGGGAAAATTTTCAACAATGATTTCACCTTATCTATTTTATCACTTACTTTCCTAAACCTTTGTGTTAAGTGACCTGTATTGCCAGCTTGAATGAGTTTACTCTTGGGAAATCTAAAAACTCTAAGAAGTAAACTTCTTATTGATCCGTTAATATAAAGTCTGAAAAAAACGTGGTTTTTGTATTAAAACGCTATGTGAAACTTTAGAATATATTTGTTGTAACACTTGATTCAAAGATAACTTTATTGTTCTAGTGTAGCACTCTAATCTTTCCAAAAGATTAAGTTAGGGAAAAGTCAAAAATCTTCAGCTTTGTATTAGGGAGAAGGAATGAAGCGAATTTAGTTCTCATGTCGACATTGTTCCAACGAGGTACTTACTACTAATTACTTTACTTTTGGTTACTTACTTTTGGTGAAAAAAGATCCTTTGCTCAAATTGAATCTGAGCTGTTCAGATCAGGAGTCGGCAAGAGTGGCTTTCCGAAAATGAAAAAAATAACGAAATCTGCCTTGACTTTCCCAAAATTTTACGAAGCCCCTTTGGGCCCTAAACCCCAATCAAAAATTCTCAAAAAAACGAAGTGTTGACCAAAAAGCGTCACCTAAGTTGTGTTTTTTCGGCCACGAAAACGATATTCCCTTTGCTTTTTGTTCCAAAAACAATATCCAGCTTGCTTATAAGTCTGTGCCGGGTCCTGGTCCAGGTTGATAATCTAGATCACTTTGCTCAAAGCTGCAAAATAACGAAATAACAATGCTGATCATTTACTGCACTAACTCAAATGCCATTTCAAACATCGAACGCCATGAATTTTTAGAACACGACAGACAATAAATGAAGGTCAGGTCGACGAGTTTATTCCAAGTTATTGTAGCAATTGGACGGCCTAAGACTGGCATAGAATAGATGCGTAGCAGCCAGTCGCACGTATTAATTCATGCATTCAAGCATGTTTTTGTCACTTACACTCGAGTTTTTGGCGTAATTTGCATGGGAGACGAATCTGAACGAAGAAAAGCGTGCGAAGCGTGGAATGTACGGTGAGAACCCTCTTTGCAACTCGGCCCACCGGTCAGTGCCAGACGAACTGCTTATTAGCTTCTAATTTTGCGGTAAATCACGGCTAATTCTAGTCGTTGCAGGAGAAGCGCTCTGAGCTGAGTGGTGGCTAAATCGCAGACATTACGAAGCTAGTCAAGGAAATCTATAAATGAACTCTTAAATTACGCGGGTTCTCTAAATTTTAGTTTTTTTCGCAGTTTTCGAAAACAGTGAAATGAGAATAGAGGCCTTTTGTATTATGATGCAGCACTTATTCATATATGCACTTGTCATATTTTTTTAAATTAGAAAACAAGAAAAACTGAAAAACGAAAAATGGTAAACTCCGCCCCTAGTACTCTTGGGCTCCGCCCATATATGCAGTTGTATACTATAAAGCTTCGAGACTTTGATCATGGAATTTGGGCCTTCGATATGCTCTAGATAGACATACCAACTTTAGCTGAAAATACGCGAAAAAGGACATTTTTTTCCAACCTACTATACTGGGTTCGGATCTTTCAAATTTTTATTAGGTTGTCCCGAAAGTTTTGTCGGTTTTTTTCATCGCTCACCAAACCTCATAGAACACCATTCCATGAACGCCCTAGGTGTCATTCTACTCACATTTTTATCCTCTTTCTTATAGCTATATTTGTTCCCTGATCTACCCCGTCTTTGCGATGTTATCGCCATGGCTTTTTGAGCACCTCAGCAGTAACGCCAAAACTTTCCTGAATTTTCAAAATTTTATTTTGACATTTTCGATGAGCGCTGGGGACTGCTATGTAGGGCAAACCTTTGGCTACATTGTGGCTGTTTTAGGTTACGTAGATCATGTTTATCAAGTCCGTGATAATTATTTGAGAAAAACCGCGGCTTTTTGAACACGTTTTACCACGTAAAATTACCGAAAATTCCAAAAAGCTGATTTTTGAAGCAAATCAAACTTTGTTGTGTTGCATAAATGATGTTTAATAACAATCAAGTTTGAATTCGCAAAAACTTCAAGAGCTTTCATCCTTTTGCTGCAATTGCGCGATTCATGACTTAGCCAAAAATCGAGCCTCAGAAGAAATAATTTTTTGAAGTCAAAATCAGCAAATTAGGAGAATTTAAAAATACCATCTTATAGCTCGAAAGTTGCTCTATTTGACCCATACTTGATCTTTTACGAAAATTTGTAACGCAATTTTTAAAAATTAGCTCAACTTTGAGCAGGTAAAATTGACAGGTGTAGAATTTCGGCAATTACCAAAGAAAAGCATATAACATTATGGTATGAAAGTGCATCCATAAGAAAGATAAGGAAAAGCTGCATCGAATGCATGTTGAAACTTACTCAGGTATTTATTGTGCGTGGTTTTACAGTGATCTGACCGACAAAACTTTCGGGACAACCTAACATTTAAATGTTTCTGAAAACTGCCGTAAATTCTTCGAGTCATCTGTAACTTGATATCCGTTCCGCACACCACGCGCGTTACTTGTCGAATTTGTAAGATTACAATCTACCCATTTAAGTAATTTCTTCTTTTTTCCTTGCCGTTTTTGATTTAATTTGTTATGTATTAGTTATAGTACACTATAACACTTTGTCACGCTACGAAAGGCTTACTGAGAAGATTGATAAGGGTGTCGTAAGTCACCGCGTATTGTGTGCACGCTTACATAATAAGCTACGAATGACTCGACGATATGACTTAATCAGTTTTTTAAATCATAATATTTCGTAATTCTGTGTGTAGGCAAGAAGCTCATGGTCTCGTTCAAGATAGAGCGGAAAAGTTGAGATTGATATCCATTAGAGATTGAAAATGATTTCACACTTTTGTATCAATATTTTGCAACAAAGTACACTTCCAGTAATCAATAGTCAAGGCATACTTTTAATAATACCTAGATCTGGCTAGCAATTTTTTAAGGTTTCATAAATCTCGCGCTATAAATATTACGCTTGTTCCCCCTCCATCCCTCGAAAAGTATCCTATTAACAATATTTGTAGTTGACGTTAGATAAATACAGCGGAATGGTGGGATTCAAGAATATTCAGACAACTGTAGAACTCATAGTGGGTAAATAGAGACTCCGATGGCGTACAAAGCCCCCCCCCCCCCCCAAATGGGTCGCGAAAATTTTGAGAGTTACTTACATGAGTTATAACAATGTGCAAATGACTTGTTCATACTTGTGAATAATCAGAATAATTTCTAGAATTTTTTTAAGTTCAATTTTGTATTGTGAAAATTTTTTCGGGATTGCGGCCTGCGCCGCGCCCCTTTTTCTCAGATTTTGGAGTACGGGAGCTCAGAAATGTTGGGAAGTAAATCAAAAATCTTTCCGAAGTGCGTGACTAATGGACCTTCATCGGAAAAATTTTTTGTCCCCCCCCCAAGAGCGGAAAACATGGGTTGCCACAGAGAGACTCTCAAGTTCAGTTCTTTATGCTAGAATTTTTGATATAATCTAGATTTGCAATGGTTTAGCTCACGAAATCCAATAGATACGAGAAATTTTGAAACTTACGTCCGATAAACACTCCACACTCACTCTTTCTTTCTTCACCACTCCCTCCCATTAATCTTTTTCTTTCAAGAAACTGCCACTGCAAGTTTCTAGGTGAGTAGAGTAGCAATTAAGAGCTAGTCCACAATGGTCACACTTCATTTATACTTATGGTTAGAAACCATTTCCGTCCTTTTCCAAATTTTGCAATCATATAGTTATGAAGAATCTCGGGAGAAAAAGGTAGAAAAGGATGAAAAAGAATAGCAATGCTAGTTATAGTATAATGTACCTAGGTCGTGCCACATTTATGGAATGTGGTTGTTTCAATAAGGAAGTATGCAAAGGAAAGAATATCAGAAATATGATCTCCTCCGTGCAAACTAGCTATTCCAATATGGAACAGCATATGCTACTGTTCCAAGTCTATTCTGAACTCTTC